GTACTGGTGTTGGTCTATTGATATATATAATGAGTCACTTTTACAAAGTGTGTTGTGTGCCTGGTTAACTGGAGCAGATAGAATATGAATATATGAAACTGAAAGTATAAAAACATACTTGGGCATTATGTATATTTAAGTATAATATAATACTTACTCCTAACACATTCTCCTCAGGCCCTACAACTGTTGGTAAATTAGGGGTATCATATTTCTCAATGAGTTGTGCTGTTGCGGCTGCTGGACACTGATCAGTAATCATCTTCTAAGATAAAAGTTAAATTTGATTAAGAAGGGCAAAAAAATATGACCAACCATCTGTATAATATTATTCACTCTAAAACCACTGGGATTTTTCTTTTAATTGCAGTGGGAATACGATTAAACCCATGGAGAATATTTTGAAAAAATCATTAACCTGTAAGCACTAATGGCTCTCAAGTGTCAACCTATGTAAAACATTAAACACACATTACCTAGCAGCTCACATTTAAATTCTTCATTTCTGCAGTGTCCAACTTTATTCATATTGCTGATGTAAGATTTGCTTCAAATGTTAATTTAAGAGGCAGTCTCTGGAGTCTTATCTACACTGGGGACTGTTTTAGTTATTGCTAATTCTGCTTTGGCTCAGCCAGTGTTAGTGACTTTAGGAACCATGGATGAAATAGCTCAAAGGATGCTGGCAACATTCTATGCCCTGTATTGGTTAGATTCAGCGCTGTTAAAGCCCAAAGGGATCATCTAGCCTGACTTCCTATAGGCTGCTAAATTCACCCAGTTATTTATTGAGTTCAATAACTTGTGTTTAACTAAAGCAAATCTTTCAGAAAAACATCTGGTCTTGATCTGAAGATAAGAGACTGAGGATCTACTACTTCCCTTGATAGTTTATCCCAATGATTATTTCATTATTACAAAGCAAACAAACTCTGTGACTTATTTCTTATTTGACTTTTCTGGCTTCAGCTCCAACCACTAGTTCTTGTTATATCTTTTTTGGGTAAGGACCTCTTCGGTGCCCAACCTTTCTTCCACAAGATATTTATATATTATAATTAAGTCATTCCTCAGGGCTTCTTTGACAAGCAGACGTCTTCAAATTTCTTACTATAGAGCAGAAGTTAGCACATTTTTACCACTATGGGTCCTGCTTGCAACCCAATCCCTGCTACCTGTTGCATCCTTCTGTTGATCAGCAGATGCCACAAAGGGAACAGATATAAAAAGGCAGGCAATGGGACCCTGGGGATGCATCCTCTGTTGCTTGGGCATATTATGAATTCCCTGAACTACAGAAGGCCAAATCCAGGCTCTTCACAGGCTGGATCTGGCCCAAGGGCCAACCCTACTGCAAAACTTTTTTTTCCCCCTCAGGTCTACAAAAGCATTTGAAGGGCCCTCCATTTTTTCAACATCCTTATTAGACTACTAATGCTACAGCTTAGGGCAGGGGTGAGAAAAATGCATCCCAGGGGCCAGATGTGGCCCGCCAGGCCATTCTATCTGGCCTACGGGGCCCCTAAAAAATTTAGAAAATTAATATTTATCTGCCCCTGGCTGCTTGTCATGTGGCCCTCGATGCCTTGCCAAAACTCAGTAAGTGGCCCTCCGCCCGAAATAATTGCCCACCCCTGACTTAAGGTGACTATATGGGACAACGTGAAACCTGGCTGGCTGCCAGGCCAGCTGCTACTGCCTGTGCCCCACTCTGCTGCTGCAGGCTGCAGTGAGTCAATGACACATTAATGGCCCATTGTTCTTCACTTCACAGGTGTTAGCAATCACCTGTGAAATAACAATTAGTGTTAATAAGGCTTCCTAATTCACAGCTCCTGCAACTTTACCTCCATGCCCTGGACTCTTGTTTTAATTTTCACCAGCCAACTGGGACCGACCTTTGAAACCTGGGACTGTCCCCACCAATCCGGGACATATGTAGAGTATCTACATGTGGATTAACATGTTAGTTAATGTGCATTAAATCTTGTACCTTTGGGCACTTTTACGTGTGCTCCAGGGGTGGGGAAGCAGCGCTTAAATTAGAGCCATCAAATTAAAGAACTGCCACGTTTTCTGTATCAGTGTCCCTGCGCTTAAAAATGGCAGTGGGGGTGCTTGAACAAGCTTTAATTTAAGTGCTCCCACCACCATTTTTAAGCACAGGGACACTGATACACGAAACACCAGAGGCTGCTGCAGTGCGGCAATTGCCACACTCCAGCAGACTCGATACGCTGGAATTCCAGAGTTTTGAAGTAGCCTCCAAGCTTCTGTATAGGTGCCCTCCATTGTGAGGTACTAGGAAATGTGCATTAGCCTATTTTAATGGGCATTATCTAAAAACAATGGTTTTCTTTAGTGATGCTTTAATGCACATTAAAACAGGCTGATGTGCATTCAAGTGCCCAAGGTCACCCTACTCCAACTCTATATGGTGTTCTAGTATCTCTCTCACCAGTATCATTTATAGAGGAAAAAGTTCTCTATAGTCTTATTTCTTGAATAAGTAAAGTTGCTTATTCACTGTGACCCCTGGTGTTTTTGCCAGAATCTAGAATCTTTTACTAGAATCTTCTGAGTGTATATATTGACCAATGTCTTCCTTGATATGGCATGTTGTAGAGTGTTGGCATTTTAAATATTATTGCAAATATGGCTGAGGGTCTGAAAAGGAAATTAAAAATAATCCTTTGGTTAATTTATCATAAGGACAGGGAATTGGACTTGATGGCCCTCCAGGATGCCCCTTGTAGTCCTGTATCTTTCAGGAATGACACAGATTCTTTGTTCCTAGATACATAACTTTGCCTTCATTCACCTGTATTAAAAGGCACTTTGTTCCAGATTGCTCTGCATGACTTCACCTTCCTCATCATTATTACCATTCTGCCAATCTTTACATCATCCACAAATTTTACTAGTTGTGATATAGTATTCAAAACAGGACAGAATTTATACTTGAAATTCAAATGGTTTTATTGCTGATGGAACTGGACCAGGTATCAGCAATAGAGAGAAACATTTGGAAAATCTTTTCCAATCTAGACAAAACTCTAGAAACTGCTTATGATTTATGTAACAAGGGAGACAGAAGTGACAATATAAGTACAACTAGATTTCACAGAAATGAAGACTATAAATGTGTGCTGTCAGATAGTAATATACCAAATGCCATGAACTAAATGTGATAGAATTTAAAGTACTCTCACATCTATAAAGCAGGTATATTTATTTACCTACCTACTTTAATTGCAGGGGATTGGAAGGATTAAATTGAAAATGTTTTAATAAACATTTTAGATGTGAATTGCCATATACTTTCAGATTAGTGCTCTACATGCTTAAAAATTCAGGAAAACTTTTAAACATGTCAAAATATTTGTTATGAAGTTTCAATTTAATCATTTCATATACAAATTAAATCTATCAAACCTTGTGTTGCTCTTCAATTTCCTGCTTCATCAGAAGCTCTTTAGCTTTCTGATTTTCTATCAGTTTCAGGTGTCTTGTGACTTTTTCCTGTTCTTGTTCCAGCATGGCTGCCTCAAGTTTCCTCTAGCATTGCAGATACATTATGCCATTGACAAAATAAAAAAAAGGATGATTAAAGTAAGTTGTATTAAGGACACATTTCAAAATTGATTTTTTTAAATGAAAGCAAACTTACCTCTTCACCTTCCTTTATATTTTTCCTGTAGCTGTAAAGCCAATGCGCCAGGTAATCAATGGGGTCTGCTGGCTGATGTTCTGCTATGTCTGCAAGTCCCTCAGCCAAGTGCTTTCCGACATGTTTTCTGAGGTAGTGTGTATCCATTCCCATCTTCTACCAACTGCAGCAAAGCAGGGGGAAAATGAATCTGTCCTGATCTAAGATGAAAGGCATTAAGCAGGACAGACACTACATGTAATGCTGCACATTACATACACTTTGTAATTCACTGGGGAAATCACCCAAGAAACTTTGACTGGCCACATGTGCCAAGTAATTATCACCATAAATATGGCTATCCAGCTATAAAAAGAGCCACCCAGGTACACAGCTAGTGTTTGCAAATGTGTAACAGTTGTAGAGCTGGTTTCTATCCAGCTTTAATCTGAAGGTGTAGCAGAGCCCTAAGGCCCCCTCTCCTTGTTATAGGTATCCTGCAATTAACTGATTAATTGCATAATTACCCTGAGACCAGCTACATATGTGAAGTAGCTAGGATGCCATAAAAAGCTCCAACCAGCTGTAAAGTTAGACTCAGAAGTACTGACTTTGTAGCTGGTTGCTATCCAGCTTTGAGTTGTACATATAGCCAGGTTTCCCCTGGCTGGGAGCTGTGGGGCTCCAAGCTGAAGGACTGCACCATGCCCCATGCCCAGCCAGGGCTGTGAGTGCACACTTGTGGGGACTCAGCCTCCCACTCTTGCTCCTAGTAGAAGCCCTCAGCTGCCCGGCCCCAGTCCTGCAGCATCTGCCTCCTGGTTGGGGCATGGTTGTTATCTCCGGGGGGGACGTGGCACGGCAGGAGGTGCCACTGTACGGGTGGCGCGTTACATCCCCTTGCGCATTTACCTGCTGGGCGCAGGGGCCCCAGGGACAGCGGCCCTTAAGTCAGGGAGCGCTGTTGCAGCCGCCCTAACAGCGCCCCTCAGCTCCGACAGGGGAACCCGTTTGTCCTGCTACAGGTGATTCAGGCGGGGGGCAGCGGCAGGGTAAGGGCAGCCGCTGTGAGGTGGCGCCGCTGGACAGAGCCGAGCGTCTCACGGCACCTCCGCTTACGGGCCGGAGGCGCTGCGGGCGGGAGGCAACCACGAGCGGGCACCGCTGTGGCCTCAGGGCCGGGGGTAGCCCTGCGTCCGGGCCCACGAGGTAGGACCGCGCGGGGCTCCGCGACCCCGGGTGAGACTGGCTGCGCCTCCGCGCGGGGGGCCGTGTCTGATGTAGGCTGTCCGCGCGCGCCTCCAGCCCGCTGCTCCCGGGGGCCGTTGCCGAGCGACCGCGACGCGCCAGCTTTACCCCGCCCCTCCCGCGCGGGACTGGCTTTGTGCGCCTGCGCAGACCTCCCAGTTGGCACCCGGCGGCCTGCTCCGGTGCGGTCCGAGGCGGTTCAGGGGCGGGGTGCGGCGCGGTCCTGTGGGAGGGTTTCGGGCTCTCGGTGCCGCAGCGGTGCACTTAGAGCGGCCCAACAGGCGGGAATTTAACTCTGGCCCCGGCCCCGG